CAAGAAGAAGATCAAAGAGGCATTGTCACCCCGACATAAAATGAAGGATTTTGACCCGTTTGCGGCGGCGCTCGAACAAACTCGTAAACAGAATATTAGCACCAGCACCAGAACTGCCATTACCCAAGAACGTCCTGGAAGAAATGATGATCAAGTTCAACGCGGCCGAGAAAGGACTCAGAAGCCGCCCTCCTTTAGGCAAAAAGGAACCAGATCTTTGTCCCCTTTTAGGGTCTCGGACTTGTTACTCGATCATCGAGAGAACAATCAACAGAATGCAAAGAACAATTCAGCTTCTTCTTTCTCTTCTTCTTTTTCGTGGTTTTGGTATAGAAAGTGGAAGCTCAAGGACTTGTTGCTGTTTAGAAGTGCATCAGAGGGGAGAGCTACGAGTAAAGATCATTTAAACAAGTATTCTACGTTGAAGAAGAATAATACGGAGCAAGAGGATGTGAAAAACTCGAGCTTCAGATCAACTGATAGTGTTGGTTCATCAGTATCAAGCTCCAAGAGGAGAGGCCAAGCTTCAGCTCACGAATTGCATTACACGGCAAACAGGGCAGTCTCAGAGGAGCTCAAGAAGAAAACTTTCTTGCCTTACAAGCAGGGGTTATTGGGCTGCTTGGGATTCAATCCGGGGATTCCTATTCATGAAATTTCTAAAGGGCTCGGTTCTATGAGCCGAGTTCGTGGTTGATTAATTTATTAGATTTCTTGTCAAGGATAAAACAACTTCTGGGGTTGGTGGTGTGGACATCTTCTCTAAATCTGTATCTCCACTTCTCTTTCTTGTTCAGAAAAAGTATAAACAAAAGTCTCTTGCTGTTCTCTTTTTTCTATTGATACAATTTTACTAGGTAATGATCTTGTGCTTTAAGACGTTCCAATTTGTTTTGAAGGATATGAAATTGCGGATTAGTACCAATTTAGCTGTAAATACTATTTCAAAATACAGCTAAACGATCTGCAAAATTTCTGTCGAATGCCACAAACATTTAGCATTTAATTGCCTTTCAATTAAAAGTGCTGAAGTTTGCTCTGGCGTTAGTTGTTGGGATATTATGGCATGCTGTTACCACCGCTCAGGCGGTGGAGGGAAGCAACTGGTCTCCAGTTATCGAAACAAACAGTAGTGAAGCTGGAAATTTTTCTTGTATGTTTTCGTAGAGGACGCTAAGAGTTATGGAATAAGCCGTGATTCCAGACAGAATTTGTTCAAGCTGTTACCCATTCAATTCAATTAATAAGGAGTCGATGAACCTCAGAATTTGTTCAAACTGTTGCTCAAATATTGTATGGTTCAGTTTATATAAAATATACCCTCTAACGTTTCCGGAAAAAAAAAAGAGAAAAGAAAAAAGATGAACCTCAGCAATCAATCACTTGCTACACTAGCTACTAGCCTACAGCTTTTTGGATGTATTGCCCTGTCCAGGAGCACATCAACCATACAATTTTACCTTTAAACAATCCAGGCTCTTAATTCTGATAAACGATATACGTACAAGTCTTGTTTTGTAACTTTTTTGTTTCATCCTTCATGCATGCATGCCTTTCTCTATGTTTATAAAGGCCTGATGCAGCAAACATGTTGGGGTGCACACTAAATTTGTCTTATGGAATTGGGACCTCAGATCTTAAGCATAGGATTATTTGCGGGCATCTTATTCTTAGGTTCAGTACGTGCCAATTGTCAAACCTTGGGTAAATTTCACCCCCCAAAAATAGGATTCCTATCCTGTCTGACAATGTTCGCTGTTCACACAGCCAAGGATTGTCGTCGCATTCATGCTGGACATCCACTCGCGTTTTCACATTTGTCTTTGAACCATTTGAGAGCCATTATCCCAACTGTTTTCGTGTTGGCTGCTGTCATGGCACCTCAAAATTCTACATTACCGCATCCCATTATGGCACAGAGAAATGAAAGAGTCCTGTTTAATTTGTACCATTGCATGCAGGATTACAATCTTAATGAATATTATCCATTTTAAGAATCATCAGTAGAGGCCCGTGAAGCATTGAAAGTCATTCTCACTACAACTTTACCAGGATTAAACAAGAAACATTCACTAAAGAAGGAAGAGAAAAATGAAAAGGAGATATTCATGTGGGGGATCTGGGCTAGCAAAGCAAAATAGTTGCTTGTTCTCTGTAGGGTAAAGAAGGAGCTAACAAACTAAGCAAGAATTAACTTTTATCAACATTCCAGATGCACGTAATGTTGTGTCGTGGGATTAAGAGGAAAACCACGGGAAAGCCTGGAATTGTGCTACCACTTTTTGACCTTTTTCTTCAGAGCATATTCGGCATTAGCCCGATAACCGACCAGTGTAAAGGGGATTAACACGGGGGTTAAAAGTACTGACCAAATGCTTGGCTTAGTTAATAAGGGCGAACTATTTTCTTAGAAAAAAAATAATATGTTAAAATTCACTGTTCTATCTGCAAGAACTTTTATAAACGGTTTGTGATTTCGTAAACATATTCTGATCCATTATAATAGTGATTAGCAGGGCAAAATCATACAAATTTTTATCTTAAAAAAAAACAAAAAAAAAAAAGTAGTACCGACCAAATGGTGGACGCAATCATCTCAAAATAGGTGCTTTGGCATCACTTTATAACTCTCCTACTGATTTCTTAAATGCAAAAAGATTAGTCGGAACTTTATGATGGCGGTGATGATATAGAGCATCATGACATTTCCATGGTGGTGTCGGTGGTTGTTTCGGATTTTATGCTCCAAACACGGCCACACCTCATGGTTGTTAAAGAAAATCATCATGCGTTTATTCCTCTGATTCCGGAAAGCCTCTCATGCACAGGTACTCCCCAGCTGCATTTTAGGATTCACCTTTTCTATGAAACCCTTAATAGAAAATACAATTGGAGGTGTGATAACGGACCATCAACGGTTGACAAGAAATATTCTTTCAACTTTTTTTTATTGGATCAATCGGGCAATATTTACACGACTATTACTCTGCCAACAATATTTAGGGCACCGTTTGATAAAATTAAAATTCATTAAATTATTGAATTGTTAAGTATTAAATTTAATACATTTGAATACATATTAGTGATAAGTGAATAATTTATCACTTAATTTTGAGAACAAGTTTTGTCCAGGATATTCAATGCCACTTAATTAATTCAAATGTTCAATTTTTAATTATCAAATGGTCTAAATATGTTAAGATTTTAACCCATTAAATGTAGGTGCTGAACTGGATTATCAAACATAATCTTATACTACTCTTACTCTATTCTATATTAAGAAAGGGTCCAGTTGGGTCCAAAAAAAATTAGAGGAAAAAACCCACCTCTAAAACAGAAGATGCCCTACTATACCTTTACTATTCGTTTCAACAATTTTTTCCTACATCAAATAAAGGCGAGACTTTCCGAGAACCAAACAAAGCATCATAAGCACATTTAGCACACTAAGCACATATCTTACTTAATCGACTTTATTACGTATCTTATTTAAGCTTGACATGTCAAAGGATGGACTAACTCATATCATCCCCCAAGCGAAAAAAAATGCTAAACGACCGAAATTAAGAAAGGGATAAGATTCAACTAAACTTCCTAGCTTTGCCCTAAGTTAAAACATTTATTCATGTGAAAATGGTAAACAAGTCCAGGGTTTTTAGAGTTTTCTCTAAACTAAGAGGTTCATGATTCAAATCTCGAGTCTAGCAGTTAAAAGTAGAAATGACGTGAAAGGGAGTGAGAGTTGAAAAAAAGAAATCCATTGATCTGCCATGAACACGACGACAGCTAAATTCCTTTTTACAAGGAGAAAACCAGTAGTAATAGGCAGCGAGCAAGGCTGAAATTACCCCCGATAACCTGATTGGTGGTGGCGGAAGCGTCATTTAAATCACTTTTAAGGGGCGGATTGCAGTTTGGGCGATCCGGGGTTATGGATTGGAAATTAAGAAGGCTGTGCGATGACTTTAGTCAGCGGCCGTCGGAACTGGAAAGGAAAAATGAAATCCAGCAGCGCACGTGCCGCTGCAAGCGTAGACTACCATGACTGACTGGCCCTCAGCCCTAGACAAACACTTACGGAACGAGACTTTGACATTTGATTTGACGACCAAATTTAATACGTACTACGTACTACTCTATCATCATCAATTAGTTTGCCGATATCTTTGACATGTCTAGTCAAAAACAAACAACCCGGGTCAAGCATGAACAGCAAGACCTCTCTCTCCTCTTCTCCTATTTTTTTTTTTATTTTTTTTTATTTTTTTGGGTCCAAGGAAGAAAGGATCCCCGGGGAAATTTTTTTTTTTGGGATAGAGTTTTGTGTTGTAACAATAATAGTGGTTGCCACCTATTAAAAAACAAAAAACAAAGAAGAAACAACAAAATGTTATTGATCTGGACAACAAAATGGTGGTATTACTTAACTGGCCCATACTGCTGCTGATCTTCAAAATTCAGCAACCAACTTCGCATTCCCTCATATGTTATTGTAGATTCCAAAAACTCCATAAAATTATCTTCAGTCCGATCTTTAGTAGCCTATTGCCATGTCTATCCGAAACTAAAGAAGTTTAATCCAATGTGACAACCAAGGATTTATAAATTGGGTGGGAAAGTGTTTTTCCTACCAAGATCATCCGTTGACCTTGGGCTCATGGCAAGTCCTTTAATGCATGCAATGAATGGGCGAGCTGAAAACAAAAACAAACTGCTCAAAAATTGCATTGAAAGCCCAACCGCCACCTCATTTCATCTGCCAACAAAGAGTAAATCAATGGAACCAACTTCTCCTTGGTAAATTGGCCACCAGGGGATTTAAAATCCCCTTGAACTATATAGATCAGGCGTTTAAAATCCTGCAACTACAGCCACATATAGCCTGGTTGGATTTTTCCCTTCCCTTACGCTAGGATAGATGCTACCATATGAGGGGAAAATTAATAAACGGACCTCTGTTCTTTTTTGGGAAAAAGGCGCCATTATTTGAAGTTCCTCGAGACACGAAGAAGGCTTTTAATAGATAAGAAAGCAGAACTGCATAAGTAGTCATATGTGTAAAAAAGATAGAGAGCATGTAGTACTCCCACACAAACGCATCATGCTGCAGAATCATTTCTGAAAAAACAGATCAAAATCTAACATATTCTAGTATACCAACAAAGAGATTCCACAATAGTATTTCGTTTCTTATTGTACAATGCAACCCACCACCGTTTACATCCAGCGGAAACAGCACAGCCGACACTGTTAAATTGTTCGTATCAGTCCACTGCCAAGATGAAAAGACGATAAAAGGGTAGCTTGAAGATCTCCTGTAATGTTAATAGATAGATCATATATTCTATCAGGAAACTGGGCTGATTACCAAACAATTACATTAGGAGATTTTCACCTTTCCCAACCTGTATTTTCATCTATAATTGGCTGGCCCACGAAGGAATTGTACAAGGCCTTTGCAGGACTCACTCTGCAATGCAGCAGAAAGTACTGTACTACACAATTCCTGCACTGCATACAGGTAACCAATCGATAGTCAGTTGAGATCTCCAGACTCCAAAATCCCCACATCAAAAGTAAAACCTCCAACTACATACACGTGCTCAGAAGGGGGTGGGAAAGTCCAATCAGTCAGTGATGTACCGAAAGAGTAGTCAAAGTGGGTATGGCCAAAGGTGAACCGGATTTCTTTCTTTTGACCCTCCTGCTTTTTCTTTTTTCTTGATTGCTTTATGTCTTGGCATGAAAGTGTGCTTTTATGAGATATGTTTGCACCACCAACTGTGAAAGTTTTATGGAAAAACAGTGCAAGTTTACAATAATTTCCTTCCTTCATCAAAGAAACTTATCAGGACCCGATGGCAAAAGTCCAAGTTCACAGGGACTAGAACATCACTTGGGTTTTTAAGTGGTTTAGCCTATGGCCCAACCAAGCTACTACAACTGCCACATAAACCCTTTTCACATGCTCATCTATAAATCATTGAAAACAAATGTTTGTCCATTATCAATGGACTGTCATGTTTTACTGTTTTTCGATTTCCTCCAGCATTACATAGAACAAGACATTTGTTCTGGCACCAGTCCCTGAATAATGATACCCTCCTAAGAAGATACATCATATTTCACTCAAGAATAAATAAAATATACAAATGGGTTGACAGAATGCTCTCCTAGGATAGGAACATAACATGTGAAATTAGATAAGTTCTTGTCCACATTCAGGAGTTATATTGAAAGCCAAAGCACCTCAAAATGGAAATATGTCACATCAAACAGGCAAAAAGTCGAAGAATACCATTTAGCACATTGAAGGGTGAGGACAGGGAGATGAAGCTAAGGAAAAACTCTCGGACTTAATTTGTCCTCAGATTCAAAAGAAGTTACTGGACCAAGCAAATGTTCTGGCTGTCAGGAATGTAATACGTTAAACTTTTATTAATCTAAATCAAAACTAGACTTTCCTCCGCAAGTCATACCTGCTATGTTCAAAAGGAGAGATCAGACGCAAGTACAATTCAGTGCTTATACAAACCAAGCAACGACTTTTCTCTCTCTTCAACTCTTTTCTTAGCAGCTTCCCTTGCTTTAAGCGCAGCTACTTCCTCTGCAGATACAACTTTTGGCTTCTCATCTTGCCTTTTCCGCTTGTTGAGAGTGAGTTTTGAAGGAGCACCCTTGGCAGTTCTCATAGGATTTAATGCATTTGAAACAACGGGCCCAGGTGGGGGTGCACTTTGAGAGGTTACAGAACCTTTATTATGCAACGTTGATGGTCCAGCTTCTGATGATGATGGCTTTTTAAGGGCAAGTTTCTTTTGGATGGATCCTGAAGTATCGCGAATTGACGCAAGTGCCTCTTCTTGTGGCACCCATTTACCTGTTCTTTTACATATTACACGAAAACATTAGCAAATGACTTTCCAGGGAGCAATAACTCAAAAAACAATGAAAAAGGACAATACCAAGAGCTTCAGTGTAGTAGAAGCCAGAATTTGGATCATAGTAGAAACCACTGGTTTGATTGTAGTAGTAGCCTGATGAGCCGTCCATCTCCCACTCTGTCATCAGAAAAACGATTCAGAATAAATACTCCAACTACAACCAAGAGATATGCCACTATTGAATTATTTATTGGGAAACAGAAATGTAGATCCAAATTTCACGCCAAAAAGGGACAAGGTAATTTGAAAGATATGTTTACCACTAGAAAACCCATTAGCAGTCCCATTGCCATCACCTTGAGTCACCAATGCCTGTAAATTAGAATCTCTTGCTTCCTGGAAACTTGCCATATCCTTCTGATAGCTGCGCTTAGCTTTCTGTCAAAATTTTTTATTTAAACACTACATGAGTATTATTGATGAATTCATAAATATGATGGTGACAAAAATTGAAATCATTCACAATCTACAATTTGGAAGGTCCAGAATCAAATTTTTGTTCTCAGCCAATCAAATTTTTGTTCTCAGTGATCACACCACATAAAAAAAATGCTAACGATGTTAAATAGAATCAAGAGAGATCTTTGGAAGTGTAAACCATTTTACTTCCATCTGATACTTCTGTCCATGAATATATCCATCAGTACAGACTATACATGCGCAAATGTTAAACAGAAATGCACAGCGTTACCGGACACACAGCAACTAACTATTAGGGTCTGGTATGACTTTCAAAATCAACTACACCACGACAATGAGCATATTATACCAATGACAACCCTCTGGGAATCAACAAAACTTAGATCTTGCACACCGTTGCTCAAACTGAACTGGAAACACACACTCATAACTAACACTATTAAAATATAAAGGAGATGTTCAAACCGAACAGGAAATACTTACTGCTTCAATTTGTTCAAGAGCACGGGCAGCTTCCTTTTGTTCTTTCTCTTTAGCAAGTTTCTGCTCTCTCATGGAATTTAGCCTTTGGGCAACATTATCTTTGTGACGTTGACCAAGCTCATGGTTCCTAATGCTGGAAGGATTGTTGGATATGAAAATTTTGCAGAAGTCGCACCATTTGTTACCCTGACTAACCCAAAACTGGAGAACCAGAAACTAAGTCAGTGTACGGATTTTAGAGTACAACATTCCAGACATACATGAATATTCATATTTCAAAATCCACACATTAGCAGCAAAGGATTAGCAAAAACAGAGTGCAACTAAGAAGATGTAGTTAGTTAGCACTAAGCCTAAAGATGAATAGAGCTACTTGGCACTGGAGCCAAACGCGGACCAATAAAAGCTTGTTTCCAATGAGTTCGTAAATTAATCAAACCATGGCCAAACAATAATTTATGCTCCTTAACTTTTGAAACTTGGTTCAAGAAGCATAGAACTTGAAACTTTATGAATAAAAATCAAGCTACTTGAGCTTCACGTGGATAATAATCAAGCGAAGTTGAATTTAACCTCATGGGGAAAAGAAAACCAGAAGAAGCTTAAAACCCATAATGTGCCGCTTATTAGGCTCATTTAAGCCTCTCTATGCTTAGTAATGACGTTGTAGGGTGGGGGAACCTCTAGAAAAGTCAATCAGCGTAAAACTATTAGGATCACTTGTTCTGAAGGTTATTAGATATTAATACAAGCGTCAACTCCTTGAGATGTGAATAACTTCGTTTGAAGGTGCATCAAAGGAGTGGGAGGGATAAAAGAGAAACAAATTCCATTCCGTAAATATCTTACAATCCAACTAGGGTTAAAATTGAGGGAGCAAGAAGACAGCTTTTTTCATGACCTAATTTCGGCTAATATTAAGTCAATTTGAGAAATATGCAAGTGCGTATGATCATTAAAACAAAAATCTAACAAACCAGAGGTTTAATCTTGTGATTATTCACCGGGAAACTGAACTGCAACTGACAATATATAAAATCCTCGAATAAACTTCCAAAAGAGAAACATCTAGGAGAAAGGAAGGGGTGGATCATACCTCAGTCATGGCTGAAAATCGCAGAAGTTACTGAAGCAAGATTGATAGTACTATAAATCTTTAATTTTCAAGAAAACAGCAGATTTAAAGCGTTCTGGAGGGTCAATTGATGGAAAGACTCCGACATTCAAATTTAACGGGCTTTTCTGGCAGAAACCCTAGCGCAATATTCCCTCCCGGAATTTACCCCTTCGTTTCTATCTTTCTTTGTCAACTAGTCAGACGCACAGGTCAAGCCAAGGACACGATTTTAGTCAATAAGTTGTTATCAGGAAAAAAAAATGAATGAGGAGAACGAGAACGTTTTCTATTAAAGCTAGCACCCCTTTTTCTTCTTATGAGCTTTCTTTTCTCACGACCGATAAATACTTCTCTTCCTCCAGATGCTAATAAACGTAAATTACAACCCCTCTTACTTATCCCTCATTTCTTTTGGCCGAACCTTCTTTTCCTTCTCTCAATTACTAACTGGAGCATTGGAGACCGAGATATCTCCCCTTTGCTTCTTTGTAGTCGTGACTTGTTAGTGCAGCGCCTGACCCACTTATTTGATGAACCGGCTCAGCAGATCCGTGCTAGCACAATTTAGTGCTAAGATAGAGATAGATCAAGTAATTTTTGCTTAAAGTGACAGTTTCGTGATTTTGATTCTTTGATTCGAGTGCTGGAGTTCAGCACATAATAGAGTGTGATTTGGACAAAAGCATATATTTTTGGAGATCTTAAAATATTCTTAAAAAGAACAGGGCAGTGTTAATAACATTCTTAAAATTGTTATTCACACTCATCTCTCTGAATTTTTACCTATAAATGATAAACTTTGAAGTAGGGACGTAAATAAGTCAAGCTCAATTGAGTAATTTATGAGTTTGCTCGATCGAAACTCGAATTTGAACTTGCATTGACCAAATTCAAACTTAAATTTGAACAACTCGAATTGCTTGATGAATGATGAGTTTGAGTTCAAATCTAATATGTGAACCTCAAAAGCTCGTCGAATTTAATGAAACTCAATTAAGTTTCATATACACACGTATGCTATTTATTAGTATTAAAGAGCCGACTTTAAAGAGCTTGATAAACTTTGAGTTCAAGTTTAAATTCAAATTTTTTTTTTAACTCGAGTTCGACTCAATTTGACTTTGTCCTTATTTTGAAGAGAAAGAGAGTGATGAAATGAGTGCGAATAAAACAATATGCTTTACTATTTGAATTGTATTGTGTTGTTTTTGACATAATTAAAGTCATAATGGGTAATTTTCTGAGGCCTAGTTTAGGAGTCAGGAGAAGAGAAGAAAGGGATACAAAACTTGATTTAGAAATGGCAAGAACACGTTACAAGATTATGTGGAAAAGAAATTAGTGTCAAAAAAATTGTAACACTTTTGTGATTTGTGTATGTATATATAGAATAGTGATTAAAAAATAATTAAAAGACAAATTCATAATGCAACGAGAAATTTTTTTTTTTTTTTAAATGATCAATCCAAGCAGACACTTTTGAAGCATGAGTGGGGGAAAAAAAAACTTTCTTAGATTTTGTGTTTTACCCATCTACCTTTAAATTCTAGATTGTGGAGGTATATTATTATGATGAACAATTCAAGTCTTTTTAATGCAGCTAAATTCACTTTCTTTCTATTTTTCTCCGGTTCTCTCCAGTTTTATTGGACAGACAATTCAGCACTTGAAGGTTAAGAAGTCTATGTCGAAAAAAAAAAAAAAAAAAGGTTAAGAAGTCCCAAAGAACGGAAAAGCCTCCTTTCCATTTTCACAGTACCTTTCTGTTCTCCTCTCTTTTCTCCTTCTTCCAATCCAAACTGGCTTAGCCTTAATGTGTTAAAGGGCTACTAAAAAACCTGTTAATGTGTGTTGAAGTACTAGAAAAAAAACTGCAATTGGCGGAAAGCAGTAAATCCATCATCAAAAATCAGATGAAAACGTTGCGGGTCAGCGCCAGTGGGTTGGTTTACCCCCTTCACCACCTCCGCCGCCGCCTCCGCCGTATCCCTTGATCCCCTACTACATATCACCTCGCAAAGCCCAAAACTTCCGTCTCCATCAAGTTTCTCTTTTCCAACGGAAAAGCACGAAAGGCACACCTACCCCGAAAATGGATCAATCCTTCATGCTGATGCTATCCAACCTACTACACCTCCACAACCACCTGGACCCTACCACCTCCCTCCTCTCCGACCTAACTTCCTCCACCTCCTCCTCCGCCTCTTCCTCCGACGCCACCTCCCCCACCTCCCTCCTCACCTCAACCTCCGCCGCTCCTCTTCTCTTCTTCACCATAGCCTCCGTCCTCTCCTACCTCGCCTCCCAACCCCCTTCCAAACCCTCCAACAGAAATACTAAAACCCCCAAATCCGCCACCTCTAATAAACCCCCCTCCTCCTCCTCCCCCTCCACCGCCAACGCCGAATTCTCCGTCTCCGCATTCCGGGCCCTCTCCACCGAACACATCTGGGCCATGGAAGCCCCTCTCCGCGACGCCCAATGGAGATCTCTTTACGGGCTTTCTTATCCCGTCTTCACCACCGTCGTGGACAAGCTTAAACCCTATATCACTCAGTCCCAGCTCTCTCTCCCTTCTGACTACGCCGTCGCCATGGTTCTCTCCAGACTCTCCCATGGACTCTCTGCTAAAACCCTAGCTTCCCGGTATGCCCTTGAACCCTACTTGATTTCGAAGATTACCAACATGATTACCCGATTGCTCGCCACCAAACTCTACCCAGAATTCATCAAAATTCCGGTGAGTCGACGCCGATTGGTCGAAACCACGCAGGGGTTTCAGGAGCTAACTGCATTGCCTAACATTTGTGGGGCGATTGATGGAACAGCTGTGAGACTTCATAAGCTAAAGTCTGACATAATTAACCCTTCCATGTATTATTCCAGGCACGGGTTCCCATCGATTTTGCTTCAGGTTGTCGCGGATCATAAGAAAATTTTCTGGGATGTTTGTGTGAAAGCCCCCGGTGCGTTTGATGACGCTACTCATTTTAGGGATAGTTTGCTGTATAACAGGTTAATATCGGGGGACATCGTGTGGGATAAAGCGATGAACGTGAGGGGGCAGCATGTTAGGCCGTATATAGTTGGGGATTGGTGTTATCCCTTGTTGTCGTTTTTGCTTACTCCGTTTTCTGGGAATAGAACGGGGAATCCAGCGCAGAATGCCTTTGATGAGGGGATTATGAAAGCGAGGAAGATGGTGGAAGAGGCGATTGGGTTGCTCAAGGGGAGGTGGAAAATCCTTCAGGACTTGAATGTTGGTCTCAATCACGCTCCCCAGACGATTGTGGCATGTTGTGTGTTGCATAATTTGTGCCAAATTGCAAGAGAGCCGGAGCCTGATCTCTGGAAGGAGCCAGAAGAGAGTGGTTCAGCTCCGAGGGTGTTGGAGAATGAGAAGTCGTTTTATTATTACGGTGAGAGCTTGAGACAAGCCTTGGCCGATGATCTATACCAACGACTCTCTTCAAGATGACTGGAAGAGCATCATCATTCATCCGTGTTGGCTGATGCTTTTTAGCAGCTTTCACTTGACGAAGCTTTCAAGTATAAATCCCTCTTCACATGCAATCTAACTCGCCACAGCTGATCCTGACCCCTGTGTTTTTCCTTCACATCTGCTTTAATTAGATTCGGTTTGTAGCTGTTCGGGAGAGAAGTCCACCTGACACTAAATAGGTCGGATGAAGATTTGTAACTACCTGCCTTGTTCTAGTTTCTGTTTCAGTCTTTGATGTTTATTTTTGGTTGTGCGAAGCTTTTTTGTTTTTCTCTATTACCGTCAAATTGTACCTAACAATTTTGAGCATTTGAATGCTCCATGGCTTATGCTTCGAGGATGCAGAGATTTGGTGACATTTGGCAGATAGACGATTGTGGTGCTACGGCGGAATGCATTCTTTTCATTTGCTTTCGCCTCAGATCTTTTTGGGGTACCTGTTTGCTGGTGTTGGGCTGTGTTGTTTTACTTTGTGAATTGTTTTGTAATTTTATTTAAAAGCAATGCCTGTAAATGACAAGATGCCCAACCAATTTTATCTGTGATCAGTGCTGAGTGCCACTTGATTCGAATCCGAGTCCTGACAAATTTTTTTTATTTATTTCCGAAAATAAACGATCTGGTTCCCGCAATTGCAGTTAATGATTTGGTTGTAGATCATTTCTATCAGATTATGATGGAAAATCAACAGAGCACAAATACAACCAGATTACTTGGAAGCACAATTACGTTGTGGCTTTTACAATGACCAGACAAAGTATGAATTTTGTTGGCTGCAGAGGTACTGACTAACTACTTCGACCCACCAAATCTTAGGTTAAAGCCGAAGACGAAGATTCAGAAAATTTAGCAGTTATTACAGCTGACAGTGGAGAACTTCATGTTAAAGGAGCACAGACAACCACGTCGTCGTCGCCGCAGGCAAAGCAAATTAATTAAGACGCAACCGAAAAAACAATTGATGTTGCATGGGGCGACAGAATCTTTGAATGAGTGAACACCAAACCACTACGAGAGCACAAAAGAAGCAACCTAACACGCGGATACGTTTGAAGGTGTTTTAATACATCAGCAGAAGAAGATGAATAATGCGCATAGATTGCTCTGCAACATGGATGCCTATAAACAGAAACTCTGCTCTATACATGTAATTGCCCTATCATATGGTATTTTGTCCAACAGCAGACAACTTCTTGCTTGATGTCATCTGCAAACCACTCCCACCCATCCAATCTAATTACACTATACACATCTTTGATTTCTTCTATTGAAGCAAACCACCATGCCATTAATAGAGATTTCAACTATGATATCTATGTAATTTAGCTACAACATTTAGTAATCCGTGTGAAGCAATAATATTAGAGAATTGAACAATCCTCGTACCCGATAGGATCTGTGACGACTTCCGAGAAATGGCAAAACGATCGGTAGGCACAGCAGTCTACCATCTGGATCTGAGGTCAATCAAAAGTGAAATTGATGCCCGGTCAAGCACCCAGAGCGCAATCGGCATGCCATAAACGCCTACAATTTACCTTGAAGACAAACTGAAGGGGCAAAAATTGCCAGTGCACAGAGCGTAGGAAACTTTTGTACCACAGCAGAATTCCGTAAACACGTTTCCAGTTTTCAAGGCACTTTTGAGTGTGTTCTGGTAGAGGGGCCGTGCAATAATTTAACAAATCCAAGGAAGCTAAGCCTCCCATCAGTATGCCTTATCCAGTCATGAAGTACGGCATGAACTGGCACCGAAGGACTAAGTCCAAGTTCCTGAAAGCATCATTTATGTGTCGTTACAAAGTGATAAACAGAGTCACAATCATTCGTCAAACTACGTCCTGAATAAATCAGCATCTATTATTCCTGAACATAAAACTCCCAGAAACATTAACATAGCATGACTCCCAATTTTCCATGTCAACGAAAATTAAATAAGGCAGGCAATTTGTTTATTTATTGGGTCAGAGGAGGAAGAGATCTTAGAGGCACTTGACTAACCGATGCAAGTTCTTCAATGACAATAGCTCGGTTTCCTTCCTTCTCAAAGATCTCATAAGCACCACGAGCATGTTGTTCCCAGCGATCAACTGCCTCCAACTGATGGACACTGGATGCAGCCGCACAAAACTCTTCAAAATCCATCTTTCGATATTGAAGTGCATTTAGCTGCCATTCAAATTAATTCAAACAAACAGCAGCTAGGTCATCAGGAACAGAGTCGCATAGAAGTTAAAAAGAAAGTCACAACTTGTCTTATTACCGAGGCAAGAAAATCAGGAACCCTGGAGTCCTCCATAGCATCTGTAGAGTTCTTCACCAATGCCTGCTTACATACAAGACATTAAAAGACAAAATCTCACCGACCATAAACAAAAGAATTCATAAAAATCTTGTGCCCCTGGAGAGGGGACATATGTTGAAGAAAAAACAAAATTAGAAAACTGCTGAATGAGTCAGGAGTCGTGGAGCAAAGGTCTCGTCACAGTTGATTCCTTCTTCTTGGGAAATTATGTACAATTATTTTTTTTAGCAAAGTTTAATGAAGCTCATGAATATTCAAAATGGGATTAGGGCATTTGCTTAAATGTGAAAGTTGGAAACTTGATTCCACAAGCCAAAAACTACTTCATTTGGGTGGTATGAAAACAGGCAAACACTGCATAATCATGCTGAAACAACAAACCGTTTTGATGTTCTCTAATGTTATACAGCCATTTTTGTTGGGCTCCAATAATGTAAACTGCTGCTTCAAATAGAAGAGTTCATCTGCAGTCAACGTCTTAGACAATGCCTGCAAAAGACATGCAATACGTATGATTGCAGTTTTCCAAGTTGAAGATTGTAGAACTCTTACTGTGCAATTATTCGGAGTCTCAAAGACTTCCCAAAATCCTATTACTAATCATACAACATAGAACAAATTATGCATTCTATTCAAAAGTATACAAAAGTAAAAAATAATCATATATGAAGTCCTAATTGATATCTTCAATAGTTAATAAAGCCAGAGGTTTAACACGAGATTGCAACCACACTTGGTTCTACTACACACAGCACACCTCCTTGTGCTTGCCACTATGGCTTACAGAAATTCCTCTAAACGAAATAATTTTGCACACTACCATCTTCAATCTTCAAAACAACAATGCAAGATACATAAAGCAATTTTTGCAATCAAAGTCATGTACAACTAAGTTCAGGTGAAGGTACCATAGCATCATGTTAGACACACACCCTTAAAGCAGCTTTCCGCAATGATGGCGAGCGCATGTAGGCTTTCATTAGTCTCAATACAAGAATATCAATTGGAGCTTTCACACCATTGTAATTCCGGATCCAGGGATGACCTACAACCAGAAAATTAAGGATGATCAGAAGATACCAAACATAATCAAAATCAGCAGTTTCTGCAGCTGGAAATACTAACTTAGAGCCTGTGCAGCAGTCATCCGTTTACGTGGGTCTTTATTTAGTAGACGCTTAACAAAATCTTTAGCCTCTGAAGACAAGGAAGGCCATGGTGCTTCATCAAAACTTGGATCAGCTTTCAGCACTGCCCGGAAAATGCCCGACTCAGTTCGGGCCCAAAAAGGGCGACTTCCACATAAAAGAATATATGCTATTACGCCCGTACTCCACACATCAGCCTCTGTAGTATATGATCTATGTAAAACTTCAGGTGCAACGTAATATGCACTTCCAACTATGTCATTCAATTTTTCATCTGCAGAGGACTATAAGCACTGAATACAACATTGAAATTCAAATAGATGACAAATAGATGTTCCTAAGTAAATAAAATTCACCTGGTCTATTCCTAAGTAAAGTAAATATAATTCACCTGGTCTTACAAAGTCTGATAAGCCAAAATCTATTACTTTCAATGGGGAGTTATCATCCTTCGAAGCATAGAGAAAATTCTGGCAAGAAGATAACTGAATAAGATGACCTAAAAACATTTGCATGGAGATTGTATAAACCAATCATCCAAAAACTATTATTAAAAGAAGAACAAACACAGGAAAAAGAGAAAACAAAGAAGTGCTGCATCTAAGAATCCAAATGAAAAAGGCAGCAAAAAAGAAGTATCAGTCAAATTTATAGGTGATGATAAAACTAAGCCAAACTAGAACATGTAAATATGCTAAGAGGCCCTCCTAATCTAAATCTTAAGGACAAAAAAAGCCTACCTCAGGTTTAAGGTCACGGTGCACCACTCCCTGGAGATGACAGAAAGCAACAACATCTAGTATCTGTACCATGACCGTCTTTGCATCATCTTCTGTGTATTTTCCACCTCTGTAAAGCATACACAAGGATAAATTGTGTAAAAATCTGAAAAGATCAGCAAACTTTGAAGTCAATTTCATCATGCTAATCAAAAATCACCGTGCAAGTATTCTGTCTAGGAGCTCTCCTCCTTGGCACAACCTAGAAATGCATTACATGCAGTCAGCATCCATTTGGAAGAGGACCCATAAAAGCTTGTCATGACCCATCCAAGCATTTAAAATTAAATATTAAGGAAAAGGGGGGGGGGGGTGTTGCACAGTTTTTTCTGCTCTTTTTACAGTGAGTAAGACCCCACTCAACCTAACATCATTTCAGAGATTTAATATACAACTTTAGTCCTTTTTGGAATGGAACTAAACATCATTCAATCTACCATCAAAGCTTGTTTAGGAACACAAGGAATTTCAGATTCTTACTCCATTGCTATATAAACATTATCTAGATCTTCAAATGCATCATAGAACTGTACAAGATTTGCATGCGCTTTCAATGCCCACAATATTTTCACCTCCCTTCTCACATCCTCAATGGCAATAGCTGTTGTCATCTGCAAAAGATGAAAAGTCAATGTGACCTTTTAGTAAACTTTAACAGGTAAACATAAAATGCACCCAAAATTTAAATCTAGTAAAATTCAAGATACGGTAAACCACCTGTGCAACAATTAGTTCTCTGATTAAGCATCACATCATGATCATATGCAAAAAATGGAATGTCCCAGAAAAATAGCAGGAATGAGGAGTCAGTTTGAAATACATGAATAAACCACATCTCATCAAAGTGAATTTAAGAAGCAAGACATCACTCGCAAGATACATATGCCCCTTGAAAATCCACTCTGCCAGGAGCTACAAAAATCAGAATATCCTGAAGGCAATGAATGCACGGGCAGCTGAAAATCATTGCACGGTTCCCCCCCCCCCCCCAACCACCACCACCACCACAAAAAAGAAAACCAAGTCCAGATACAAGGTAGTATCTAGTTAACCTTACAAAAGGCTTCAAATGAAAAATGATACCTGGTCACTATTCATTATGCTCAGTGCGAATACATCAGTTAAATTCATCTTTCAGTTTCACATACGAGATTAATTAAAAACCAGGCAGTATCTTTTTTCTCGAATTGAGTACAGATAAGCCGAAACATCACAAACACGCAAAAAAATAAAATAAAATTGTAGGAAATAGTTAAACTAACTTAACGAATTGAAGGTTGACATAAGGTTCTTAGTGTACCCAAAATGCCCTTCATATCGCCCTTCTGGGATTCGCTACAGGCTACAGAGGCAGAAAACAAGTACTTACTACTTAAAAGGAGGGTACCTTGTTCTTGGGGATGACCTTGACAGCGAGCTTTTGACCCTTAAGATCACCTTTCTTGGCTACAGCAGAGCAAGTGTACCCAAAGTGCCCTCGGCCCACCTCCTTCACAATCTCATACTTGCTGGTGAACTGCTTTGAAAACCCAAAACTCTTATCCAGCTCCGCCCCCGCAGCAGCAGCATCCCCCTCCTCACCCTCCGGAATAGTCTCTGTACTTTTCCCGCCATGGCGCCTGAAAAGCACGGCCTTGATATGCTTCGCCGGCGACGGAGGGGGGAACGGGCGCTTAACTGTCCTCCTGGGAGTGGAGGTAGCACTTGGGGACGCGGAAGGCAGCGGAAGAGCCGGAGATTTCTTAGAGAAGAAGTAACGTGCAGGGCTGGGAGTGTAGAAGTTGAAAGGAGTAGACTTCTTATCAACAGCGTCGAGTGCCCGAGAATCGTCGGCAGCGGGAGTTTCGGGAAGTGGTAAAGGTTCTTCTAGGATTCGACCTGGGGTAGAATAGGGATTGCGTTTAGGAGGTTTAGAAGTGCAGGCTCCCATATCTGGCCCCCGCGCTCGCCGGAGAAGCAGAGAGGCCGAAACTTATAATGGCATTTCTATCTAAATACTAACAAGCAAACCGATGGGGGATAAATAGTAATGAAAGAAAGAAAAAGAAGAACCGGGGGGGAGGAAGGTGTGGAAAGGATTCTTTGAGATGAAGGTGGACAACGACTGAAGGAGTAGAGGAGATGGCATCAGATAGAGGAAGTGGGTTGGTGGCTGGGGCTTAGGGAGAGGAAGTGTGGGGCTGACTGGAAAAACCTGGTGGACCCGTACGTGTGTGAGTTTATAACACTTTGCCCGCCGACCTATAGCCATAATCCTACATCATCTCCCTACCTTAACAGATGTTATGTTAGGGATTTTTATTTATTTTTTAACCCCCACATGAAAACTTTTCTTCAACTTTGCCCTCAGTGTTAATCACGCTTTGTCCCATAGTCATAAAAATATACTCTTTGCTTTAATAATCTATCTACAATTACAAAGTTAGAATAATAATGTAATTATAAGTATATACTTTGTTCCAAATATTATTGATGAAAAAAATATTTGTATATAGTTTATTTAAAAAGAAATTCCCTATATATTCATTACACTGTCAACATTTACTTGCATTTTAATTCTTTAATTTTCCTTTCAAGATAGAGTTTAGCAATTTCCATGGTCAATCTTTATTCACAATGAAGTATGGATAACCTTTATGCATCGTAATGTCTTTTGCAATCCATAAAATTAAACTTAAATTTTTTTAACTTCAAAGAATAGAAAAAGAAACAAGATAGTTTGTAAGAAATCAGTAAATTTGGTATGAACAAAAAATTTTGGCAAAATTTTATAAACAGAAATTTTGAAAGCACTTTGTCAAAATTTTAAGCATCAAAAGATAATGATGAATTTAAATTTAAACATAAAAATGACAATTACAAATACGTTTACTATAATACTTAGGAATATTTGCTCCTGAGTAAGAAAGGATATATTTTGCAATAACAAAACGCTTAATAATAGAAAAGGGCAAAATTTAATCGTTGCATCATTTTTTTTATTTTTTATTTTTTTGGAGGTGGGGGAGAGGGAAGGGAAGGACGATGGAGTCAAATTTAAGGGGACAAAGTGTACATTCTTTTTTTGTTTTTTCTAGTTTAAAGGGACAAAGTGTAATTACTATTGCAGTTCAAGAAAGCAAAGTGTCATTAACACTTTTGTTTTCGAGCGAGGAAAATTTTAACTCTATGCTCTACGTTTAATTTAATTTATACTCTATCGCTAATATAACGGCCAATTATAGCGCGGGACCAGAGAACTGCACAATTGCAATTTGCAAATCTACGCACAAGGGTAATTGTTAAATATTAGCATAGTAAGTGTATCTACAAAAAATTATTATTATTATTATTAGGGTCTAAAAAATAACAACCCTTTTTTTTTGTATGCATATTGTAGGGTTTATTTATCAAATTCAATCCCAACTATTGAGATTAAAAAACACTGCTCATTTTTCATTCCACGAGGCGTGGCTTGCAAAAACCCTTAGGAGTTGGCACTTAGCAGGATTCACAACTTTTTGTAAAAAGTTTCCTATAATGGTACTGCTATCAAAAATTTTTTTTTTTGGGTAGTCTTTGATAATTAGAAAAAAAAAAATTTTTTTTGAAGGAATTTGATGGTGAGATCGAAAGACGATATCAAGATCTGATGCAACTCTGTCTAGTAAAGTATGAGTAGTCAATGAGTACAACCTTCGTAAATGTCTGAGTAGTAGCAGTTTAGGATAGTCCACCCGTGGACTGGACTGCCAGTAGCTGTAAATATTAATTTATGCAAAGACAAATTGCAAACGGCATCGCCCTCCGTTACGAAACATACACCGAACCGACCGCCGTCTACCGGTCAAAGTCGTTGATTATCTTCCCCGGCCGATGTTGGAGGCTTTGATTAACGAACTAATCAGTGGTTTTTTGCTTTTTTTTTTTCCGAATTTATTTGCCAGTTCGTGGTATTGTCAGGAACAGCGATATTGAATTGAGAAAAATATTAATTATCTGTACTTCATTTTTTTTTTTTGTTATTGAATTAATACAGAGTACGTATACGGTACATCATACATGTTGAGAGGGGAGACTACGGTAGGTGCATGTCTATACTTGACGTAATGACGTACGACTTCTCTGATGATGATGATTGATGAGGTGGCTATAACTATTAAGGGGCAGATGAAATGATGAACTGATTCTGATTTCCAATCACGTAATTAACGATTTGAATGCTTGTGAGCCACAAAATCATTGCTATCCAAATTAATAGCCTTTAATCATTTTTTTGTGGTTGCATTGCATTGCCTTCTCGTTGGAGCCGGCGAAAAGTCCAGACGGAGAAGAACAAAGACGTGAGGCCCATTTTTTACGTCATTAATCATTACTGCCGCTATTTTCACCCAAAAAAAAAAAGAAAAAGAAAAAAAAAACTTGTGGAACCTGAGCGACTGCTCATCACATGATCACGACACAGCAGAAGCTTTGTAGCTATCCATCAACTTCAAACCAAATAACCCCTCATGACGCATAATAAAAAGTTCAATTGGACGTTTCTTTATGACGAATTTTTCCATATTATGTGCAAACCCATTTGTATCTTATCTCTGTACTAAATTCAATTCATGGGAGTAGAGTCGGTAATTATGGGAGCAATATAATTTTGTGATGACGATTGTCGTATTTCAAGACCCACGCTTGTTAATTTGCATCCATAATTCCATATGTTAAAAGACTTAATGGAACATGCAGCAGCTATCAGAAAGAGCGCGCACTAAATAAATTTAATTCCGTGCAATAACTCATCAATCACACGAAGGGTAAGACGCACTAGGCAAGATAAGTATCTCAGAAGAGATTCGAACCTAGATTAACAAGAAAGTATGATACCAAACCTAGATTAACAAGAAAGTATCATACCAATTCTATCATTTCGATTGAGTATTTCTATTGTTGCATTGCACATACCTTGACTGGTATATTTTGGCATGTTATTTTGCTCTTGCTTTTGAAAAATGGTAGACCAAACAAATGGACACCGACGAATGCTGCTAGTATTATTATTATCCATTATGCAGTTTCTCGTGTAGATTGATTGCCGAGTTGGCCTTTCATTTTCATTCAGTGGAACGTACTAGAGCCAGCAACATAGCTAACTAAGAAGCTCTCTACACCCGACTTTATTGTGGCCAAATGAAGCTTCCGAGCAGTTCATGATCAAGTGGCGTAGCATTTTTTTTCAGGATTATTATCACTTCACACTATAATTTTTATAGTTATTATCAGTTTATCCTATAATATTATATTTTAATCAATTTATCTCCAAAGCTAACGGTCAAAGCAAACAGCGTTATATGATTTAGATGAAATGACATATGCAGTGCAAACTAATAGTTAATGACAACAATGTCCATTTGTGAGGATTATTATCACTTCAGCAAACAGCGTTATATGATTTAGATGAAATGACATATGCAGTGCAAACTAATAGTTAATGACAACAATGTCCATTTGTTCCAAAATTGCACTAGATAGAAAAAAGGCACGTTACATATGAAAATAAAAGGTTTAGACTTACGAAATAGTTCAGATGATTTTTTTACACTTACAAACAAGTTTAGATAGGTCTAGAAAAATTTCATATTATAACCTTGTACTTAAAGTAGTCAAGAAATTAAGAGAAGAAATAAAAATTAAAAAAAGAATTAAAAAAATTAAGGGATTTGTGAATGATTTAAGGAAAAAAAAAGAATAAAAAAGTATGGATATCATTTTAAGACAAAATAAATTTTTAAAAAAATCAAGACAGTTGTAAATATTACGAGCTTAAGGATATTTTCATCCTAAAAATTAATAACAATAAAGAAAAAGTCACATGGCCACCTTTTCAGTCAACTTGCTGAGTTGGCTAATGGAAATGGGTAAACTGACTACAAAATAACATTAGGAAGTAAAACTGATAATAATTATAAATGTTATGGGATAAGGTGATAATAGCCCTTAAAAAAAAACTATTTCAACCCTTTTGACACATTTTTTTTTCTCCCCAACTGTCACGTACATGGTTCAAATTCTGAATCAAAAAATTCTAATAGACATTTCCTGGCTATTGGTGGACCACAGCGATTCATGTAACATTTGTCTTTTTTTTTTTTTTATCGACACAGGAATATCCGGATCAATGCTTACGGGCCCAACTAATTTTCTTCGGCCCTGGCTCAGCGTCCAACCGGGTCCGAACACGTTAGGTGCGCGGAGGAATCCAACCCGACCCGAACATGTTAAGCCTTTTGATTATTTTGCAAATGAATATGACCCGATTAAACGAAATTTCAGCAAAACAAAGGAAACATACTTAAGTTTTCAGAGAAATGAAACAGTAGTAACACATTTTATTTGAATATAAACAAAAAGGTATCAAATAGGAAAAGAGTAATGCATTTCCAATCATAAATCGTATAGAGTAAACGGCTCGGAAAAACTTTTACTTGTTCCATTGGGCTTCAATCTGGGAAAGTCACGTCTTTATTGACGAATTAAATGAGCCCAACTCTTTTTTCATTTTCATCAATTTGCTGCCATTGGCTTGAAACAGCAAAAGTTCAAAACTGACCTAACACCATTAATGGCGCTCATGAAAGTTGATCAATGCAAAATCTGGAGCTTGCCACTTCCCCACAGGCTACTGTTGGATGCGCATACGTGTAATGTAAGCAACTCAGCTGTCCGGTCCAGTCTCATCAATCCACCGCATGCTTCTTGGTGCTTCTATTGACTCGAATTTTCTCCCCTTGAAATTTGAACGATGCGCTACTAATAAAAGTTTTAAAATTTAGGTTGTGTTTGAATTACATTTTCCGTCATTTTTTATGGAAAAATTACTGTAGCAATTTGATATATGTGAGGGAAAAAGGTGATAGGAAAATGTGATCACGAAAAACGACAATATTTTTCAATGGAAACAAGCAATCCAAGCAGAGCCTAATTTTGGGATTCTTTTATTTCGTGAAATCAGATATTACACTTAAGATGCATTCGATAAAATTGAAATGTGAAAACTGAAATTTGAAGTATAAATATATTAAATTATTGAATTAATTTAGTACTAAATTTGATACGTTTGAGTGTATATCAAATTAAATGTTAAGTGAATAATTCATTATTTATTTTTCAAAAATGCAGTGTCATTTAATTAATTCAAACATTCTATTTTTTGTTATCAAACGGGTCTGAACATATTAAGATCTAAACACATTAAATTTGAATATCGAATTAAGTTATCAAACCACAAAGTTATTTTGTGTCTATGGTTAGACACAAAGTTATTGCGTGAAATCAGAAATTACATTTAGATTAGTACTACAAACTATAGAGTTATTTTGCGGATATGGTGATTCCAGATTGTAGCGGATTCAGACTTTGCCTCCTTAATTTGCTAAAAGTGGATAGCAAGCAGGTGTTAGCAAAAACTGAAAAGACGGCATTTTGGAGGTCGTCCGAAATTTTGTCAGGTTGATCGACAAAGGCAATCATATGAAAAAAAATATATATTGTAGAAAAATAATTTTTTAAATATCTTTTATGACGTGTTTTATTTGAAATAAAAAGATACTATAGTTGATAAGGTGTTACTTGAAAAAAATATAGGAGTATGATGTAATAAAATTTTCTTTTTTGGCAAATAATGACTAATCTAAACTAACCCACTAATACAGCTAGTAGTTAATATTACGATATCTGCCAACGACCTTACCAAGATATTAGGGCACTGTTTGGCACTATTATTAGATTAGGAGCACTGTTTGGCAAGTGAGTTTTTTGAGTGTTTGTCTAAAACTTTACTATAGTTTACTGTAAAAGTTTTTTTTAAAAAATTTTTGAATATTTTGAAATGTATAATTTAAAAATTTTGAAATTTTTTTTAAGATTACTGTAGTTAAAGTTTTTAAAAAATTTGTAATCTTGACAAAAAAACTCAAGTCCAAACAAGGCGGCGCGCATCACTCCGAGTGCGAACAAAGATCACTCCGCTTAGTAGACGTCGACGAGGAGTCAGTCAGACGAGAGATTTGCGACTTTCAATTGGAATTTCCACTTTCCACCTTCCACTTGCCAGGACGGCCTTAACTTTTCATTCCCGGCCGTCCATTTCTTCTAGAAAAATTTCCTTTATTTCTTTGTGTCTTTTCCGTCTTGACTGATTATTAATTACACCAAGTCTTAATAGTACTAAACACACTTAGCACCATTTTTTGGGCAAGAAAAAGAAACAAGTACCTCTGTGCAAGAGGAGAGGCGTGCGTGGTCCCTCTTTTTATGAGTTGCTAGCTCTTTCTTTCTTCTGTTTTTTCTTTTCTCTTCTTTTCTTTTTTTCGGGGGTTGTGACAGTGTATCGCCCTGACGCTAACGTTGCATCCAGTTTCTTCTAGAAATCTGCCACAAATCATGGATAAGCAGAGTAAATAATACTCCTACACACACCATTGAGAGCACATATATATATATATATAGATAAGGGGTTGGATTACCTTTTTTACTTTACCCTTTCAATACCCCATCCAATCCCACCCCCCGGCCCCCCCAAAAAAAAAAAAGGAAAGAAAACCAATTAACTCCCCTTGGCCACAGGTACTAGTTAGGGGTATCTTTAATGATAATGACGGTGGGATTGGAGTTTTCTCAAAATGAGGGAACACAGCCGACCTTGGATTCTTTCAGATGCTTATAATTTAAGCGTAATCATAACTGCATCATCTCATCTCTAGAGGCTGAAATAGTGAACAATATAGCACCCCCACCCCCCCCCCTCCTCTTTTTTTTTTTTTCTCTCTTTTCAAGAAGTATATAGTACTACTAAATTTTGTCCTAGCTGAAGATTAATGTAAATGTTTTCCAAGAAATATGAGAAACGTTTCAAGTGTGATATTTACGATGAATACTGCTTATTGTTGACTTCCATGCATATTCCCTTTCCAAATTTGTACACTTCTAAAACTGCAGCCTCACTCTCGGGGATGTAATTTCCAATTTTGTGTAAATGAAGCTATATCATAGAGTAGTAGGTGAAAGATTTTCAATATGCAGTAAGTTGGTAAAAATATCAATCAACCACGCATAAGGTTCTTGATTTGACTCTGAAACCTTCCTTAGTTCCATTCGAATGGGAATTTGGAGAAAGAAAGGAAGAAAAAAAAAAAAGGATCTCTCCGTGGAAAGGATACACATACACGGGCTGACGTAATTGTTTGCCCCATAAACGGTTTTGGGCCTATGATGGATTCTTGTAAACCAAGTCCCCGAATAAAAAAAGTATTCTGCTTGGTCCGCTGCTACAAGAAAGGGGGAGGGACGCTCATCCATAGCCCTCTTCTGGGCTTATGATGACAACAATCAGAAGGGCTTCACCTCGTAAAGAAATTCATCCAACTTCAAGAAGACGCAATCCAACCACCAGCTCCAAAGCAGTCAGGCAAGGATGAAGGATGCCCCTTACAGCGGAATTAGTAATAATTTTGCCAAAACGCATGCTACGCAGTATATAGTTTCCATCAAGCAATTTCTAGACAGCAGAGCTCAAAAAGGTGCCTTTACTTCATGAGATAAAAGATCCCAACGTCAGTTAATGTCTCAAGTTCAGCTAAATTCCGAACTACACCACCAGGCTTTTGCTACAGAACATCATAAAAACTGGACTCTTCAATTTAGCTGAATTTTATACTTTTGCTGAACCAGCTTCAACCGAGCCTCCTAGTCCCCCTCTCCCACATAAGCCATGCAGAGCAACAAAATTGTGCAGCACGCAGCAAATTTTTCGTGTGCAGAAGGCAGTGAGTGAATTTTCATGCCATTATCAGTGCTACAGGGGGATCAGAAATCATAAGCTCCATCATGATTTTCCCCCACTCACTGTCCAAGATAAACATTTGGATCTTCCTCATCAGAATCAAACTCAACCTGCAAGCAAACACCTGTTGCAGTCAAGGTGATGACTAGTGCAGAAGTATAGCTGATTGATCCTTCACAAAATGAATAATAGAGAGAGAGAGAGAGAGAGAGAGAGAGAGATTCCTAACAAAAAATAAAATTCGAGCTTTAGTCATAAACCAGGAGCAGTTGCGAAAAATGTGCATAATACTGCTATCTATCAAAGGAAACTCTCACATTTTCATCCTTGAACCACCGGGCATGGGCATCACGCTTCCACCCAGCTGAAATCAGCTTAAGCTCCCTCTCACGACGATTTTTATAATCCAATTGCTGCTGGAAGGCCACTTCAGGAGCTGCTACGACTTCGGTGGCATTGCTCTTTGCAATAGATTGATTTTCTTTTTTATAGTAGCAGATATCTGATCGGACATCTGGACTTTTATCACTTTTATCCAATGTGCTGCACTGAGGAGATTCTCCAGCAAGTATCTCGGAAGCAGCTTTGTGGACCTGCTCAATTAAAGGCTTCTTTGTGGATCCACATCTTACTTCAGAACTAGTGCTGGAAACAGCAGTACTAGAGGAATCTGCCAATGCAATCCTCTTATTTATCTGATATTGTCTCGATAGTTCTCTTTCCTTCTGTTCGGACTCTGCAGCTCGATGGCGTGACCCCTTCACATGCATCTGCTAAAACAAACTTTTAACAATTAGCAACCGAACTTGGGATAGCAAACAATCTCAATTCTAGCTCCAGCCCAGAAATGATGAAGAAACAACATAGCAATGCAGAAGGCCTCATTTGCATTGCATGCGTGTGAAGATGAGGATGCAAAACCACATGAATACCAACTAGTACACTAAACTGGTTCGTTCAAAATCTAATTCTACCATGGACAAAATGCACGAAAATCGTTTAATCTCCTTCTTTGTCATAAAGTATTGTTTCTGCCTTGTACAACCATGTCAGCTCACATCCAATCGTCATTGTTTCCTCCCTCTTATTTCCCTCTACTTCCGCTCCCTTGAGTCTCCAGAAACCACGACCATCACCGCCTGCCCCAGGACTTGCTGGTGTCATTTTTCTGATCTTTTAATCAAACCATATACGGTTGATGCTTAGGGTCTGCTCTCAACCAATTCTGATTTTTGAAAAGCCAAAGTGATGCTCCAAAAAGCAGGTATCTTGTAGATTGTGATTTTAACTCTAAAAAAAAGAGGCAAAAATCTAAAATCTAGAAGCTAAAAGCAAGTCTGATTCTTGTAATTAGAACCATAAGTCTCAAGAATCATACTAGCGGGCAGATTAATAGTATTCCGTCGTGCTCTCTCGAGTTGTAAATTGTGTAAGTCCTTCCTCTACAGTAAGAGAAATGAATAAGAAAACAAAAGGCATGAGACTATTTTGAAGGCTCTACTTCTAACCCTTTATGCTGCATAAGAATGAGAATCAATTCAAGTCTCGATCAGTGGCATGCAAGTCTGGTGAACGGTGGGAAGAAGTCGATTTCTGAGAAATCTACTTACTCACAACAATATATATATTCTAAATAAATCATAATTCCAAAAAAAAAAAAAAAAAAAAGAAACGAAAACACAAGATTAGTGGAGAATGGAGATAACCCTGAAAGAATGGAGGGACTTACGGAAAGCATTAAAGGGGTGTCAAGGACGGGATGGTGGGGGCAGAGCAGGCAAACCAACTTGCCGTTGGGGAGCTTCTTATAACCACACCCATCAATTCCTTCGATTATCAGATCATCTACTCTTCGCTTCCTGTACTGAGCCTCCCGACCCCAACTGTCTCCTCCAAACACACTCATCGCTTCCTCCCGCTCTCTTTCTTGATAAAAATTGGTTGTTCGCTGCAATTCTCAACCTTTTTTATGAGTTTCCCGGCGGTGCAGCGCTGCCATTTCCCCTTTTGCTGCGGAAAGTCGTTCCTGTCTATCTCCATCTCTGGAAGAAGAGCGGCGTCGTTTTGTTTTTTTGACTCCAGATACGGGTCGGTGTGGGTGACTCCGATTGTTCAATTGGATCGTACTGAGGAAATTTTTATTTTTATTTTTGTTTTTTTGTTCTTTGCTGAGGAAATGTTCAATTTGCCCAATTTACCACTTGTAATTCACATCTATGGTTAGCATTCTTCTATTTAAGTTAACCTTAAAAAAAAACCCCAATGGGTCTGTCGTGGGCGATTAGCAATTTAGCATGATAGCCTCTCTCGTACATTTTTGGTTAAAAGTATACATTCACTCAACTGATACAAATGCAAATTTCTAACACCCAACTAATTAATAAAAGTGCACATTTTTGGTTAGTCAATTAAGTGAAACATACCTTTTTTTTGTCAAAAAATAAAAAAAAAAATGTGTTGCCAATGTATTGTATACTGTTAGTGTATGAACGTGCTGAATTAAATGCATGTCACATAATTTTAATCTAAATTTGAATTCATAATTTTGATGCATATAATGCTTTTAGTATATACACCACACCGTTGACGTTGGAAAAGATTAATCTAAGCATGCATGTTATAATTAGTTAAATGATTGTTATGGCTAAAAGAAGAATTTTTGCAATTCTGCACTTGGTTTTGACGTGCAAACCATGAATAGAGAGAACATATAATTCGAATATGAAGAAAATAGGAAGTTGCAAAAGAATAAAAATAAAAATAAAGAGGTTCATCTAAATTGGCTTTTTTTTTCCCCATACTTTGTTATTGGGTATTAATCATGGAAACATCGTGGCAATAGCCGATCGGCTTACAGAAGAAAACATCATCATAAATGTATAAACCCACACAAAAAAAAAAAAAAAAGGAAAGAAGAAAAACTCTCGTTATTTGCTAGAATTGATCAATTGGAACATTTTAATTTTGAAAGTAAAATCACACTAATATTCGTTTTTTTTTTTTTTTGCCCTTTCCCAAAAGGCAGCCGTAATGTACTGAATAATTTCAGTTCCAATGTATGAGTGGCATGACGGGAAATTTCATAGTCCCATTGCTGCAGTGAAAGCCGCCCCCTTCGCCGCAGGCAAAATAGTAAGGCTGCCACCACCTCAGCACGAACTCAAATCCTTCCCCGCCGCCTTGGTTCACATCTGCTATCTTCCATGCCCACCGCAGGTCGCATGTCAAGAAGCTCCGGTAGCTTGGCAATAGATACACGCTATGGGGATGTGGGGTAGAGTTATACTTGAACACTGCACCCAAAGGAATTAAGAATAAGACCCTTGAACATACTATACTGGTGCTTCACACTCAAAAGATATATACATATATATCACGTATCACACCATGCATTTGTATATTTTTCTTAGCCCTTCATCAACGTACGTAATTAGGAAGCTAGCTCCATGCATCAATTAATGAAGCAGGGAGGGGAAATGATCGATGAAACAACGCAGTAAGTACGTACCTAGGGTGTCACCAAGATAGAAGGGACCGTTTTTGAGAGCCCAGTCGGTGTAGTTAAACCCGAAGTGCCAGCCTTCAGAACCACCGACTTCCACCCTCCTTGGTTGGCTTGCATTGGGGTGTCTGTGCCAACCGTAATTCCAGTTGGTGTCCTGCTTGTTACCCATAGTACCGACGCCCAATATGGACATTATAACCACAGCTAGGACACCTGCTTTTCCATGAAATACTAGAGAAGCCATATTGATTTTTCTGCTCTGGGCAGAAAAATGGCAGATTATGAGCAGTTAGTTAGCTATCAAGTTTTGGTAATTGCGATGGGATATTTACCGATCAAAATGATGGGCATTTTATAGGCGGCAAACATACGCTTGCTACTTTGCTGTAGCAGTTAATTTGAACAAGTCAGACCTTTCGTCCGGTTGGGTAGGTCGGATGCAGAAATTATGAATAACGGACGAGTCTCGTGTGTTTTTCCAATCCCGAATATTTTTTATTTCTTCTCCAGTTTTTCAAAGTCCGCCACTTTGTGGCGAGATGAGAATCTTAATTTAATCCGCATGCAGTTTCTTCGCAGAATTTACCTGTTTTCCACTTTTTAACGTGTATGTATATGTACGTGTGTGTAGTTTTTCATCGCTTGAAAGCATCTGATGTGTGTACGTATATGATTATATCACCACGCATCTAAGTATTCACTATTTCCTCCCTGTCCTGTATGTGAGAAAACTTATCACTATATATTCTCCCTTAAAAAAAACCTTTTTACTTTATATATATATCAAATCGCTACAGTAGTTATTTATTCGACAAAAAAATTAGAAAAATACAATCCAAAACAGGCCATGTTTTTCAATGCGAATCAAGTATTCCGATGTGTATTGGAGATTTACATGCTTTTGCTAGCCATTCTGGTAGTTATCAAATATAGTGCACGATAAATATGCATGGTCTAAGAAACCATTATGTATCTTTGTTACAGTGTGAATACAATGGGGTGGGTGGTAAACTTCCACAGCCAACATGATCATTCAAAATTCGATACAAAGGGAGTAATCTTTGCGTACACTAGTAGTAAGTAGTATTTCATAACAAGGATACATAAACCTACGCATCATCGCATCATTCACATTAGACTGGGTTCACTTTAAGAGTTTCTGTCAGGAAAAATGTAAAAGAAAACAATGATGCATTCTATATTGTGTGGTGGTACATACATAATACATAAACCTAGTACTTTTTAATGAATGAAAGCAAATTCAGGCGAGGAAAAGGAAGAGCTGGGCATATTGTACATGGTCGTTAAAATTGGCTCAGGAGTCCAATTGCGCGGCCAGAAAAAGTTTTAGGCAGTAATCATTTTCTTCGGTAAGGTTGAGTACTCTTAATAAGACTCGTGGGGTTGACAAAATTAAGCTGAAAGGAAGTTTGCAATTCAGGTGTGGATTCAATAAAAAAGGCATATGCTAGTTAGTAGTAGTACCATCTATGAGGAAACCAAAGGTCAAGAAAATGCAGAAAAAGCCATCATTGCCAAAACGATATTGCGTTTCTAACTTAAAAATCTTGACACTTGACCCGGGGGGGGGGGGGGGGGGGAAGGTGGTGGTGAAGAAAGCATTTAGATTGTCATAAATCATAAACAGTAGGACGTTGATGCACTGATTACCGTATAATGACGTCTTATTTTTTGCAACATCTGGAAACGAGAGAATGAAGATGTTTCTTCCCGGTCACTTTTTTTTTTATTTGTTAAAAAAAAGAAAAAAATTTTACTACCCATTTGGATTGCTAGTTTTAAGAGTTTTTATAGAAAAATAATACTGATTTGATTTGATATATGTGAATTAAAAAAATAATCAGAAAATATGTTTATGGAAAATATAAAAAATTTTCTGTTAAAAAAATCACAATTTAAACAACGAAGCCCAAAATGCCATCAGGACTGAGGTTGGAACTGAATGTTGCTAACTTAGGTGGTCCAGGTCTGGACCCAAGCCTGAATTTAATTTGTATGGGTACTCAAGGTGATCCACACAACACAAGTTTATATTTAAACTTTTTTTTTCTAAGATTGCGTTTGATAAAATTGAAGTCTGAAATTTGAATCCATTAAGTTATTGAGTTGTTAAATATTAAATAAAACACATTTGAATGTATATTACATTTAGTGATAAGTGAATAGTTTATCACTTATTTTTGTGAGCAAGTTTTGTCTTAGGCATTCAATTTCACTTAATTAATTCAGATATTCAATTTTTATTATCAAACTCGTCTGAACATATTAAGATTTGAATCTATTAAATTTAAGTGCTGAATTGAATTATCAAACAGGTTCTGAGTGTTTAATTCTCCCATTTCTCTGTATCTCTCTTTCTTGTTTTTTTTCTCTAGTCAAATCTCCCAAACAAAAAGGAAGAATGATCCATTTCCCATCTTTTGTTTTCTTTTCTCTCCATTTGCTTCCATTTAAGCTCACTTTGAAGTTTCTGACTGCGTCAGAAAATGTTTTATCATTTACAAATAACGAAAACCAATCACAGGGCCAAGCCCAAAAAAATTGTCATTTAACGAACAGGAAGCCCAGTACTTGTCCCACCCCAACCCAAAAAGCCCCACTGCTTCTACCTGGATCTCAAGTTCCACCCCAAAAAAAAAAAGATGGAAATGTTTGAAAACGTCTCTCTTTCTCCTCCCGTAATGCTTCATTTCAGTTGTCACTCCGCTCAAGCTTCACAGATCGTCTGGGGGAGACGACGACGACGAAGCCGGCGACGGCGACATTCAGGAGAGAAGTGAGACATGGCCCCACAGACGGCAGTCCGTACAATATCCCAGGAAGCATTCGACGAAATGGTGAAGGAGAATATAGAGGACCTTGGGATGGACCCCACCGAAGCCCTTGAAGACGCCGTTCAAACGCTTTCGCTCCAGGGTGTTGATCTCTCAGGTAATTTCTATCATATGTTTTTGAATTTTTTTCTTTTGTTCCCTCCAGTTTTTTTTTCCCAAGCTAATCCCACCTCGCTCGTGTCCTTTCCAGGTATAGTCCATTGCGTCCCCGGAGAGAGCTCAGTCGATGACAATCCGGTAGTTCAGGCTCTAAGCAGATTGAAAGGGCTGAGCTCCGATTCGTCCGATAGCGAAAACGAAATTATGGAATTGTTGGGAAACTTGAATGAGTTGTGTAGCTCAAAAGGGTCGGGAAATGCTGCCATTGCCACCAAGAATGGAGGGGTAGAGTTGGTAACTTCTGTTTTGCCGAAGCTTAAGAAGAGCGGGCCTCATCGGGGCCTAGACTTGGCTTTGAGCACATTGACTTCACTAATTCATGGTACATGTTTATTTTCTTAAATGCAACAACTTTTAAATTGCTGGGATTTTCTTTCCATCGTTGAATTACTAATTCTAGGGGTTGGGGTTTTTTTTTTTTGTTTGGGGGGGGGGCGCTGGGGGGCGAATTCATCTTAATGATTGGTAAGGTTGGCAATGTTGGATTGGTTTCATTTTTTGTTGTTTAGTTTCATCTT